CCCTGTGAAGATGGTGCATCAGAGACTTGAATGGAAGATAAGGGACAGCTCTGTGGTAATTTGTCTATAGGGAGTAGGGCATGGCAGCAGCTCTGCACAGAGGTACTGTGCTACTGGGTGGGCATGGTACAGTGGCAGCTGAGCCTCGGGGACGAAGGGATGCAATGGCTGCTTGCCTCCAGAGTAGTATGCACTCTAATGGCAGCTCTGGTTATAATATGGTGCAGAGCAGTAACACCATGGGCCATAGGGGATTGGGCAGTGTACAGCATCAGCTCCTTCACTGTGGCTCCAGGAGCTCTCTGAACTAGGCTCAGAGCCTGTGAGAACACCTGTGAGGACTAAAAGTGTCCAAGTTGGTGATGAGGTCTGCTGGGATCATCTTACTTACCTTTTTCCAACTTCCCAAGCTGATCACAACTGGGAAGATGAGGTGGTAGAGGCAAGACATTTCCTGCCCTTCTCTGTGTGGTTATACTGGGGTACTCTACAGAATTTGTGCTATGTCTTTGCTGTTCTCTGATCTTTCTTTCTTTTTCTTTCTTTCTTTCTTTTTCTTTCTTTCTTTCTTTTTCTTTCTTTCTTTCTTTCTTTCTTTCTTTCTTTCTTTTCTTTCTTTCTTTCTTTCTTTCTTTCTTTCTTTCTTTCTTCTTTCCTTCCTTCCTTCCTTCCTTCTTTCATTCTTTCTTTCTTTGTTGGTGTTGTTGTTGGAGTCTCACTCCATCGCCCAGGCTGGAGTGCAATGACACACTCACAGCCACCCCAGCATCAACCCACTGGGTTCTGGCGATCCTTCCGCTTCAGCCTTCCAAGTAGCCGGAACTACAGGCCCATGCTACCACATCTGGTTAATTTTTTATTTGTTGTAGAGATGAGGTCTCGCCAAGTTGCCCAAACTGGTCTCGAACCCGCACATTCAGGCAATCCACTTGCCTTGGCCTCCCAAAGTGCTGGGATTATAGGCTGAGCCACCGAGCCCAGATGCTTTTCTTTATTTATTTTGGTCAAAATGTAATGTTGATTTACTTTTTTTGGATTTTTAGCAGGGAGGATGAGAACTAGAAGCTTCTAGTCAGCTATCTTACTGATATCACTCTCAAACAAGTATTAGTTTTAAAACCAAAGTAACAATAAATGCATGCCTACCTTCGTATGTGACATTTGAATGTGCACTCCTGTGTAGGTCAGTCTGACAAAGGCAGTGATTAGTCATCTATCCTTAATCTCTTCATTAGATTATTAACTCTTTAATGCAAAGACTGTGCCTCTTCCAAAGGTAACTTCTGTAGCCTACCTAGTATAGGACTAGAAATGTCACTGATACAGATAGCGATGACTTTGAAGAGGATGCAAATTACTTTCCATACTTTTAGGTAAATGGATCTGTTTCCAGACCCTGCAATCACTCCATAGGTGTGGTTTCCATATTCCCTGGTGTTGCTAGAAAGTGACATATTTATGAGCTACATATTTGGAGATCTCAAATTCCAGTAAACACTCTTGGTCCTAACAAGGAAAGCTCTGTTCTGTGTTTCATTTTAGTGGAGGACATATTTAACCACTGTACTAGCTGGTGAATAGCTCTGGGTAAGTTTCCATGACATTAGTTGAAATTTCTTATGCTTTAGTGTTATCTGTTAAGAATTTAGTTTTAAATAGTGAGTAACCAGTGTTATTTTGACTCAGAGGTATATTCCTTTGGTGGACAATAAGCAGGGTTAAACCTACAACAGAGTGGAAATAAACTTAATTAAAGACACTGAAAACTTTCTGTTTTCACATTAACCAAAAGAAAAATTGGTTTAGAAGTCACCCACAGTTTCCAACCATTTTTCTCATTAAAACTTAGGATAAATCTATCCCATCTTACAAATAACCAACATCCTATTTTCCTTTTAGTATTATATTTAATCCACATGTAGGATAGAAAAAATGTTCATCTAAGTGAAATCTTTCAACTTTAATTCTTTAAACTCTTTCAAGCCCTACAACCAACATTTCTTTTATCTAGATTACCTGACTTGGAAAATTCTTGCTGTTATCCATTGGCAGGCATGACTTTCCTAACTTAAATCAAGACTAGAAGAAAAATAAGGCTTATGAAATATTAAACAGCATTTGCCTGAGATCTTAGGTGTTGAAAGGCTTTAAGAAATTAAAATGCTGCTTCTGAATATCTGATGAGTCTGACTCATTATTTTTAGTTTAGGTTGATATTCCCTGAACAAACATGAATTTAATTTAATACAAAAGGCCTTTATTTTATCTCATCCGAAGCTATCTCCATGACTTCATTCCATCACTTAAATCCTTCCTCCCATACCATACTCTTCTTAAGTCCCTAAGGGCAGGCCTCTCGCCAAGTTGCCCAGGTTTTATTTTTTAGAGTTTGTTCCTCTTTTCTTTTCTTTTCTTTTTTTGTAAATTGTAGTCTCACTGTGTCACCCACGCTAGAGTGCAGTGGCCACTCCCGGTCACCGCAGCCTCGACCTGCTGGGCTCCGGCGATCCTTCCACCTCAGTCTTCCAGTAGCTGGAACTACAGGCGCACACTACCACACCCGGCTAATTTTTTTGATTTATTGTAGAGATGAGGTCTCACCAAGTTGCCCAGGCGGGTCTCGAACCCACAGGCTCAGGCAATCCAGTCACCTCAGCCTCCCAAGGCGCGGGATTACAGGCTGAGCCACCGAGCCCAGCTTGTCACTCTTTTCGAAAGCAACATTATCCTTATAGAGCTTTGAGATTTTATTAAGTTTTCTCATGATCGTCAGAAGTAAATTCTCTCTCTTTTCTAAATATAGAGTTCTGAGAAGAAGGAAAAGGGCATTTACTTGAGGACTGCAGTTTTAAATGATCTGTCTGGTTAGGTGTTCTTTAAGCACCACATCAGAAAGCTTGTCAATGCTGGAATATGTCACTCTGTATTCTGGCAGGATTGTCATGGAATACTGCACAAAGAAACGCCAATTTACAAAGTGGTTATGGTCCATCCAGAAAGTGACTTTTGACTTCTAAAGATAAATCTTTTAAAGCATGCTTAGACATTTAGTCCTGGATTTTGAAGTGAAAGAAAACCTGCAAACTCTTCCCTTTTGTAGTTGAATGTGACACTGAATGCCAGTGCCCAGACTATGTTGTCATGACAAAAGAACACAGTGGGAATGTTTAGCTGTAACACAGGAGAGGCAAAATATGGCCAAATCTAGCTCACTGCCTGTTTCTGCATAGTCTGTGAGCTCAGAATGTTTTGTTTTGGATTGGTTTTTGCTGTGGCCTTGTCACTCCCAGTTAAAAGGGATGCCTGCATAAGCATATGTGCTCTGGCCCTGCAGCCTAACCCCCTACACCATGCAGAGGGGTGGCAAGGGGCTCAAAGGCAGTGCATAAGAATGGTATTTACGTTTTTAAACAGTTGAAAGCAAAATCAGTTGGGTATGGTGACTCATCCCTGTAATCCCAGTACTTTGGGAATCTGTGGTGGGAGGATCACTTGAGCCTGGGAGTTCAAGACCAGCCTGGGCAACAAAGCAAGACTTTGTACAGAAAAGTGGAAAAATTAGCCAGGTATGGTGGGTCATACCTATAGTTCCAGTTACTCAGGAAGTTGAGGCAGGGGGATCACTTGAACCCAAAAGTTTAAGACTGCAGTGAGCTGTGATTGTGCCCCTGAACTCCAGGCTGGGTGACAGAGTGAGACCCTGACTCAAAAAAAATAAAATAAAATAAAAGCAAAATCAAAAGAAGAATATTTTGTGATATATTAAAATTGTGTGAAATTTAAATTTCATTGGTTATGAATAAAGTTTTATTGGAACATAGCTATGCTCACTTGTTTGGGTATTGTCTGAGGTTGCTTTCACTACAAAGGCAGAGTTAGTGCTTGTGAGACTATATGACCCACAAAGCCTAACATATCACTATCTGGCCCTTTGCAGAAAGTTTGCTGACCCTGCTCTAAAATCATAGACTTTTCCTCTGCATTGTTCAATGGATAGTCTCAGACTATATCGATTAAAGTCTCTGTTGGGGGAAGTGAAAAACAAAGTAACTTTTCTGTGATGATTAGTGGTCTTTGGAATCTTTTTTATTGAATTTTTCCACATATAACTTTGTTCTTTCATCGTTTCCTAACCCATATCTTAGCTTACTTCAAAAAAAGAATGTCTAATATATTGTTCAGTTATGTTCAGTAACTTAAAATAACTATGAAGAATAAAAGGAAAGCCTCTGCATATTTTGTAAATTATTATGTATGTGAAAACAGATCCTAAAAATCCAAGACACCTCCGCTAAGAATCTATTTGCTTATTCTATCAATACTTATTCTGCAACATACTAGAAAACATACCATCTCATATATATGCATACATACATATATATCAAGCTTTCATAAAATGTTTCCCTACCATCAGAGAGACTAGGTTTGAAGAATCATTGGAATTTGATATCAGTGAAGAATAGGCAAAGTTCTAATAAAATATAGTATTAAAGCCAAAGAAACAAGCTGAGATAAAAAGAGAAGGTAAGAGAGATAAGAAGGTACCTGGATGGAACTAGAGTCTATAATACTGAGTGACTTCTCACAGAAACAAAGATCCGAGTATCACATGTTCTCACTCATATAATGGACCTTGCACATCCAATGTAAGACTATAAGAAAATGACTGACGTTACTGGGAAACTATGGGAGGGGGAGGGAGATGGGATTAATAGTAGCGAATATCTGTCTGGGGACAGGGAAACACCTCTTATCAACAGGGTGCCTGAATGAAACGTAATTGTATACCTAACCCTTAATTGCACCCCACAACATCATAATAAAAAATATTGATTAAAAAAAAAAGAAAGAAAGTAAACAATGTAGTTGTTGGCTTTGAAAAAATAAAATTGGCATTTGAATGGCCCGGAGTGGGGTCCGGCCCAGGCTGCCGGGTGTGGATCCTCAGCACCAGAGCTGGGCTGAGGCGCCACCCATGAGGTGCCGGTATTTAGGAGATGATGGCATCTGAAACCCACAATGTTAAAAAATGAAACTTTTGTAATAATATTGAGGATCATTCCATTGATCTTCCTAGTAAAAAGATCTCTAATTTCACTAAAAAGAACATGAAGGAGGTTAAGAAATCTCCAAAACAGCTGGTTACTTACATGAATAGAACAGTTGGACAAGCTGTGAAAAGCCCAGATAAACTACGGAAGGTGATCTATCACAGAAAGAAAGTTCATCATCCCTTTCCAAATCCTTGTTACAGAAAAAAACAGCCCCCTAGAAGTTGGGGCTGTGACATGGCAAATAAAGAAAATGAACTGGCTTGTGCAGGCCACTTGCCTGAAAAATTACGCCATGATAGTCGAACATATTTGCTTAACTCCAGTGATTCTGGTTCTTCTCAGACAGAAAGCCCATCATCAAAATATAGTGGGGTTTTTTTCTGAGGTTTCTCAGGACCATGAAACAATGGCCCAAGTTTTGTTCAGCAGGAATTTGAGACTGAACGTAGCTTTAACTTTCTGGAGAAAGAGAAGTATAAGAGAACTTGTAGCTTATTTGGTGAGGATAGAAGATCTTGGAGTTGTGGTAGATTGCCTTCCTGTATTCATCAATAGTTAACAGGAAGAAAAACAATATATCTCACTTGGCTGCTCTGTAGACTTGTTGCCTCTAGTAAAGTCACTACTTAAAAGCAAATTTGAAGAATATGTTATAGTTGGCCTGAACTGGCTTCAAGCAGTCATAAAAAGGTGGTGGTCAGAACTGTCATCCAAACCAGAAATTATAAATGATGGAAATATTCAGATTTTAAAACAACAATTAAGTGGATTGTGGGAACAGGAAAACCATCTTACTTTGGTTCCAGGATATACTGGTAATATAGCTAAGGATATAGATGCTTATTTATTACAGTTGCATTGAGAGATTTCATCTACTAAAGAGCATTTGAGTATTCAAAACATCCCTGTACTATATAATGTACAAAAAAAGGTCTTGTCTAAGAACTGTAAACTGTGGAAGAAATCAAAACTACTTTTTCTTTTAAAAAGCCACGTAATGAAACCACTAATGAAACCCTAACAATCTACTTCACATTGAAGTGGAAAATATACAAAAGGAGCAGCTTCAACTTCAATGAGGTGAAAGTGCACTATGAAAATTGTTCGCCTTTGCTGCATTTGGGACTTATATGGTTATTTGGTGACTTTGTTTAAGAACTACTGGGTCTTAATGCAATCCTGCATAAGAGTATAATTTATACTGTGTGAAAAAATAATCCAAGACTTATTGCTAAGAACCACAAAGACCAATCATTATTAGCTTTTTAAAGATTGTGTTTTATTAAAAAAAACACTTAAATGTGTGCAGCGATTTTCTTATGCTGAAAAAGACAAAGTTTAAAATATCATAGCAAAAGTCAATATTAAAATTTTTTTGCTCACACTGAGATACTGTGTATGCAAAATGCCTTAATTAGTAACTAGCCAATGTGTTATTATGTTATGATACCAATATCTGTGTAAAAAAATTAAAACCAACCATGATTCTGGCATGATAAAATCATGGAATTAAATCAGGGGTTTACATTCATGTAGAATGTTGCTGAAATGTATTCCACACCATTTTTAAAACTTGAGAATACTTTACTCTTTCTGAGTTTTTTGCCAGAATCATATCATGTATGTATGTGTTATCCTTATCTAAAGAAAAAGGTGAATATGTATTTGTATGAATGTTTGGAAATGTCCATTCCGTTGGCTAATTTATATTCACTTTTTATTGTATACAGATGGCTAATATTTTTCATTTCTGTATCATTTAAACTTCCTTTATTTGAGTAAATTCACTAAACGTTTCTAAAAAAAAAAAAAAAAAAAAGAAAGAAAGAAAATTTTAGGCCGGGCTTGGTGGATCAGCCTGTAATCCCAGCACTTTGGGAGGCCAAGGTGAGTGGATTGCCTGAGCCCACAGGTTCCAGACCAGCCTGGTCAACTTGGCGAGACCTCATCTCCACAATAGATAAAAAATTAGCCAGGTGCAGTGGCGCGCACCTGTAGTTCTGGCTACTTGGAAGACTGAGATGGAAGGATCACTGGAGCCCAGCAGGTCAAGGCTGCGGTGGCTGTGGGTGTGTCACTGCACTCCAGTCTGGGCAACAGAGTGAGACTCCAACTCAAAAATAAAAATAAAAATAAAAATTTAAAGCATCATCTGACAAGAATGTGATTCTCTAGATCCTACCCTATTGAAAATTCTTACCACACATGTCAGGACAATGAAAGCATCTGCCTCCAAAACTCAGTACCCGGAATGCCTCAGAGGAGTGAAAAGCTTCATAGTGTGGCTGATGACCTAACCAGACACTGTGTGTGTTCTACCCATAATTATGGTTTTTGCTTTCTTCACTTCTCTTCCCCAGTGGCCAACCTCAGAAACCACCCAGTAGTCGTTTCTCCTCTAAATTCACCTTCTAGAGTGGTTAGTGAGGTTGAGAATAGTACATATGAATCCTCTCCATGTGCACACAGCTCTAGCCCACACTCTACCTGTTCCCGGGAAAGTCTTATCAACAAGAGTATCTGCATAATGAACATTTGTATATCTAAGCCTGAATTGTACCCCACATCTTTTTTTTTTTTTTTTGAGTTGGAGTCTCACTCTGTTACCCAGACTGGAGTGCAGTG